AATCGAAAATTCACAGAATTTCGCGATACTACAAAAGAAAAAAGTTGTTGCCATCGACCTGGAAGTACCAGTCCAGCACGGCTAGCGCACTGATTGCATAGACTTAGCCAAGCGAGATGTGCGGAGTGCATGTGACAAAGCGGCAAGATTAGACAAAATGGGCAACACTGTGAACAAATAAGCCAAAAGGAATGGACGAAAGCGGCTCCTTCTAGATAAATATACAAATGGACACGCCCCCCGCTTATACATGCAAACGCCGTAACTTTTTTCACTACTCCACCTTTTTTTCCTCACCATTTTTAATGTGTATTAAAAAACTTCAGCAAAACTTCTGTTCAAATTTTTAATAAAAAAAAGAAAATTAAACCTTTACCTTTTTGCGCAACGCATAAGAGGGATTAGTTGGATAAAGTCGAAAAGGTAAACAATGAAAAGTAGGTGGTGGTCATCAGCCAGGGCACATACTGTATGTGCCTACAGTAACACAGGAGCATAGCTGTGCAGCAAATAAATGTACACTTAAAGCAAATGCAATCTAAACGGAGATGCATATGCAAATGGGGGGTTCGAAAAAACCCCATCAAATCTTCACCACGGGGAATTCCTTACGGTGGCATGGAAACAATAGCACAGAATAGGGGGTTAAAATAAAAAAATTGTTCGTTTCTTTGCATGTATGTATACATGACACGTATTTTTTTTTTTTCCAGCTAGCCATTTTTTGCAATCTGAATGACGTCCTCATCGGCTAGCTTGTGATCTGGTTAAAAAAAAAAAAAAAAGAAAGAAAAACATGAGCAAACGTACAAATGGGCAAATCTTCACATATGAGCGAACACCTACTTCCGCGCGATCTGCGCACAAACAAATGAACCGCCGGACAAATGCAATTGCGCGCGCAATCGTGTACAAATCCATTTTTGACGTACGTAAGTCTACTCTTTGCGGATTGTGCTTTGTGCTTCTTCCCCAAACAAGTGCAAATTTAAAATCCTTAATCATGTCCTAAAGAAAAAGGGAATGACACAAGGATTTATCAGCGTTGACCTATCTCATAAAATGGAGGGATTCACAGTCGGTACAGTTATCAACGCTGCCGAATTACTTTATGAATTTGGTTAAGTACGGCCTCCACAGTTTGGCTTCCTGTAGAAATGCAAATAAAAAAATAGCAAATGGGAATGGACGTATTTTGTCATCGTTTAGGGGACTTGCCGCACAACGCTTGGACGGAAGACTGTTTCGATACAACACTGCTTCCATGCGACACCGATTGGAGGAACAATTTCTTAAGTTTTCCGCGCGTAAGGTCTCACCCCGTTGCCTAGTTAACGTAATCGGATTCGTAAAGTCAGGTTTTTCCTTACGCACTTTGGTATACACGCGAATAATTTCCAATTTCTGAAATATGTACTCCTTTAGCACGTCCAAATTCCACGACTTGCTGCTACTTATCACCACCGTGTTTTCGCTGGGAAGAAAAAGGGGCGCACTCGGCACAGGGGTGTAAAATGCGCAGACAAAGAGGTGTGCATCTGTTTGTATGTGTACACGTCTACAAAGAAATTGCTCCTTCTCCACACAGAAAGGAGTATGTCCACATGCACACCTATATGTATTTAACGGGGAAGCATTTCTCCCTTCCCCTTTCCCTACCCCGAGGCGATGGCATTAATTTCGTCCAAAGGCAGCATATCAATTTTGTTGTACACATAAATGCACTTAATGTACTTTCTATTGCCCTCAATAATATCAATGAGATCGTCAACCTGTGTGTTATAAAAAAAAAAAAAAATAATAAAATAATAAAAATTCGAAAAAAAAGTCACATAAAAGACAAAGATAAACCCATCCAAGGTAAAGAAGGAAGCACAAAAATGAAATAAATTTAATGATGAATTACGAATGTTCTCACTTGAGCCCAATTTGCACACTTCCATTTCCTACCGTTGCATCTTCATTGAAGAGCAAATTGCAGTTGTGTATTTTGTATTGGTGAAGGATGCTCATTATAAGCTTGTTGTCCAGCTGAGGGGAGGGGGGAAAATGGGGGGTAATTAAAATGGGATTACCCAAAATAGGGGGCCAACACATACACGCCACCACGCTTCGTCGTAAATATGTGCACGGGTTGAGCGAAGACCTATTCAGATAGCTCACCTTTGTTAAGGGGACAGTGCTATTTATAACAACGCCGCCGGTCTTCTTCCTTGTCAATGTGATCTGAAAAAATTAAGAAGAAAAAAAAAATTAATTAATTGATAAAATTGAAATAGTTTCCTAAAATGACACATGTGATAATAAGGAGAGGCATACTTTAGAATGAAGAAAAATGCTCTGTCAGTTTGTGCATTTTTCTTTTTCTCGTTTTTATTTGTCTTTACCCTTTGCGGCTCTTGGTTTATTCGTATGCCAACAGTTTTAAGTTCGCTGGAGAAGGGGAAGAGGGGGGGACGAACAAACAATGTTAATTTGTCAATAGGTACGTCACACACTACTTAGGCAGGGTTTTAAAAAAAAAAAAAAAAAAGATATTACTTTTCTAATTTTATTTTTTGACTATTATCCCTCGTTGCGTCTAGTATCATCATAATCATGTCGCACGACTTGGCAACAGCTATAACCTGGAGGAGGGAAGAGAGGAGAAAAGCGGAAGAAGCCGAAATAAAACATTTTACCCACGTTATGTGTGTCGATACGACGTGCTACCTTTCCAATCCGTGCACATAAGCACGTATATACACATATGTGTGTGCTTCCCTATGCGCACCTGTCTCCCTCGCCCACGGCCCTCTGAAGCCCCTTGAATGATCCCAGGCAGATCGAGCAGCTGAATTTTTGCATCCTTGTAACTTATTATTCCTACGAGAGAATTGTAGTACTGACGATTGTGGCAGTACTGAATGGGCACGCGTCCTAGTGGTGAACACGAATCTTTGATCATTCTAATAAGCACATTCCCCTCTGCTATGACAGAGCATTTTTACGAATCACACCTGGCTTGCATGTCAAGGTAGTGAACTCATAGTCAGCTATCTCCGACGTGGTGCTGGTTATTTTTGATAATAGCGTCGACTTTCCGACTGAGGGAAATCCGATTAGGCAAATTCTTGCATCACCTTGTCTAAAATTCGCAAAGAGAGGGGACAGTGACGTGAGTCATGGGCGCATTGGTTTAGGCGATGTAAATTTATTCGTTATGTCTTTATTATTGTTATTATTATGATTATTATTTTCTCTTTTTTTTTTTTTTTTTTTCCTTTTGCTCATTTCTTTCTCATCATCTTAACCGTTGCACGTCGAAGCCCTCCCCTTTCTTCCCTCCCTTGGGGGCTTCAAGAAGCTGTGACCTAAGGTAAGGTGGTTTCAAGAAAGGTGTATTAAATTGCGGCACCCAGTTGGATCGGTGCAGACATGCGTACCTAACACAGCAGCGCCATGCAGCACTGCTGAAGTGTGTATTCGCGTCAAAAGGATCCGGGGTCGCGTTCGTGGTCGCCCTGTGTTCAGACAGAAATGGGGATCCCATCTCTGCATCGACGTACCGATATTTCGCTAGTTTAGCTTTCAGTTGACCCAGGTGATACTAAAAAAAAGGATGCACATGTGAGGTAGTCAGACAGAGGGAAGGGTTACACGGTTAGGGAGTCGAAAAAAGACTAATGGGGGGATACACAGGAAGTCACAAAACAGGGAGCACAGAACAGCCCACTCGTCGATGCGAGACGCCTAGTGTTGGTCCCCCTTACCTCGGTCGCCTTGTTCTTCTGAGTCCTGGCCATCTCGGCCTCTATCTCTTTGATTTTCTTTAAAAAAAAAAGAAAAAGAAGTAAGCCATTGCAGGTGCACAAATGGGGGGAACGCATAGAAAAAAAAGAAAGCAGCTCTCACGTAGCTTTACCTCTAGAATTCCCATCTTGACAGAAAAGGAAGTCCACTTCTAGTTGTGAGAGTTTTATCATAAACTGTATGGCAAGAAACCATAACGAAAAAAAAAGAAAAAGAAAACAGCAAAATAAAGCAAATCAAATAAAAACAAAACTAACGTTCAGTGGTGATACCTCTTAAGTTATTCTTAACAAGGTGAAATTAATAAATTCCCAAAAACAGGGGATGAAAAAATTGAGGCAAAATTTGCTATTTTCATTTTTTCGTATCAAAAAGGAGGGGATGTTGTAAATGTAAGATTTTCAATTTTAATCGCCAACGGGGGAAGATCCTCTGAAATATACCGAGGCAGTTATGATTTTTTTTTTTTTCCATCTTTTGTGGTTTGAACGGAACCAATTTTTAAAATAAAAGGAGTTAATATTTTGTGTAACTCCATTTTATTTATTGGCATTATAAATTTTACAGTTCAAAAGAGTTTTATGTCAACATGGGCGTAAGCAGCTAATGTAAAGTGTGCTACGCGCGTTGGGTAGGTCAAGGCCACCCCAGAAAAAAACATAAAATGGTACATTCTATATAGACTGCATTGCAGCCACGTAGATGCTGAACATATGCACAGTGAATAAACATCGAGTAACGAACGCACAACGCTATTCCATTCGTGAAAACGTAAAAATGGGGAAATGATGAAGCAGAAGGAGAAAATTCACATAGAAGGGGTAAACGGCGGGGGGGGGGAAACCCTTTTCCACAAATGCGAATGAACGAGTATCACTTTGGTTGTTTTTTTTTTTTTTTTTTTCTGTCACTTTTTCCCTCTTTAATTTTTCCTTTCTTCTGGTTTGTACTTTCTGGTCAGACGAGATTGAAGGGGGGTATTATCATGTCCAGATTACTATCGAAATATGCTCTTCCGGTCCGGGGGTGAAGGCAAAAAAGTTTAGCATTTGTAACTGGAGATGCAGATGGATACACACAACAAGAGTGAACAGGTGTACAGTACGCACAACAACTATGCAGGCGAGTGAGAAGAAACAATTTTGTGGTGTGCGAAAAATACATTCTGCTCGAAAAAAAAAAGCAAAAATTGTGTGTATCCTCATGGGTCACCCGTCAGCCGAGAATTTACTTATCGAAGCGAACCACTCCTTGGTGACAAATTCAATTTCGTCATCAGGATGGTCATTCAGTTCTGAAAATAGCTGATACAAATCGGTGACGGCGAAGAGTAATTCCCTATACCCAATAGTGTCGTAAATATATTTCAACGTCAGTATTATGGAGAGGGTAACATTACAGCTGGTGTTGTTATTTTCATTCTTTAAGGAAAGTCTCATGGTCATGATTTGTATTTTTTCCGGGTCATTTATATATAAGGAGTAGAGCTCAAAGAGGATTAGCTTTAAAATGTCGAGGAGGGTAACAGAGACCATTTTGATGTCCAAATGTTCGCTATATCGTATGACGTCTTCATTGATGCAGTCTTTAAAGTCATCATTTGCGTGTACTCTTGGAAGGTATGCGAAAATATCGAAACAGTTTATAACGTAATCGAAACAGGTTTGGTAATATATTGGGGTGAAATTTTTTTGATTTTTTTTTTCATTTTTTAGAATTTCATACAGACATAGGAGAGTGCAATAACCAAGATCAAACCAATACCAAGTGCTCCTGATGGCCACGTTTTTTACCTTTCTTCGTTTCGTTCCTTCGACAGTGGTAGTATATTCGATGTTGTAATTAGGATTCCGTTGGAGAGCGTCTTCATGGGTAGCTTCGCACGCCGGGTTAGAAGCATCGCCCATGATGGCCCCCCTCGCAGCGGAGGAACCGAAGTGGCAACAATTCCGATGGCACGCAAGTAGCACAAATTTGATATTGTTCAGGAGGTCGAAAAGGTTCTTATTCTTCTCACTCAACACGGAACCAAAATTTTGATAAAGCCGGTAGAAGTAAAGGAAATATATCCTCCTCTCGTACACAGTTTTGTAGTTATCCAAGAGGGAACTCGGGTTGGATTCAAAATTTGGCTGCTCGAATGACGCTAGGAGTTTATCAAACAGGTTTCCCAAGGATGACAATTTCATTTTGGTCGAGGTGTACACTAAAGACTTCACAATATTCTCCTCCTCAATTCTTAGATCCACGGTTAGCCCACTTGTCGCTTTATCTGAATCGGAGGTGCTTCCCGAATCGAATTGTTCACTGTAATAAGTGAAGAAATCTCCTCCGTTAAGCTTCTCCATTTTATCTCCCCATTTACGAACCAGAGTGGTAACATACTCGGCACAATTCTTAATATGCGCTTTTATAATGCAGAAGAGGAGTTCCAACCCCAAATCGGAGCTTCCCTTCTTGGAGGAGGCTAAACTGCTTTGAAAAATGACCAGATGTTGATACACAAATAGAGCGTTGTTCAAAACGACAGATTGGTTGTAGCTGTAGGTCGTTGTCCTCTTCGCCAAAGGGAGGAAGTTCTTCTTGAAGTATCTCATTACATGCTTTAGGCAAAGTTCTAAGTGATTATTTGAAAATATAAAAAATAAGTGATACATATTTAGCTTCTTCAACGGGTTCATCATTACTTTGCTAATATGCTTCATTTTGTTTTCTTTGTTCAAACTGTACAAGTTATTTTGTAGGGCATTCTTCTCATTGATTAGGACGTAATGCCTATTTTTTAAAAACAAAATTCTGAATAACTCAATCAGGTGCTTTTTCGTGAACAACGGGAAGTTAAGGAGCACCGATGATATGCACTTCACTATTGTGTTCAGGGGGTAAAGGTCCAGGAGGAAAATGCTATTCAGATCTTTCAACTTGTTTGTACTTTTTATGTGCGCAATTTGGGTGGCATGCCATTTTGTAGTTTTAGCTACGCTGTTCGGTTCGGTGCACTCTGTGTTGTTACCCCTGTCGTTATCATCACCCAGGGTGCAATACAAATCGATGGAATCCGCGTCGGACAGGCATGTTAGATCCTTACCTGCTGGGTCAACGACGTCGAGAAAGACATTATCGTTGTGGAGATCGACAATTGGTTCGTCACTGAATGGAGCTTTGTCTAGACGACCCACGCGTTTACAATAGTTTCTGTATTCATCATTTATCATGTCCAACTCGCTGGAGATTGTTCTCTTCTTTTTCGCCTTGCCAGAAATTGGTCCCTTAAAAGTGGCACTGTTACTATTTGGCATGTTGTCTCTACCGAGGATGTCCCCCTCCGCCTCTCCCTGCAGATCATTTAAGGGAATTATCTCCGCTTCAGCGGAAGGGCCCCCGTCTAGCAACGCGGCCTTCCACCTATTCCTTTGCTCATTCGCTAAGACGAAGTAGAACTGCTCAAGTAATGTCCTCAGAATTTCGTTTATCTTCGATACGATGATTATCTTCGTATAATCATCCACATAAATTTTGAATAGGGCCTTATTGAACATGTTATAAATGTACATTTGATTCAGCGACGCGATGGCTTTTTCATTTTTCCTAGTGTAGAGAAAATAAATGAGGGCGTCAAATATTGGCTTGACGTCCGTTCCGGTATTCAATTTCTGGTTCATGAAAATGGACATTTCTTTGAAAAGATTTGAGCATTTGGAAGAATCCACGGTGAGCATTTTATTTATTAGAAATTCATAAAAGTGGAATAGATGTTTATTCATAATGCTACTAATTTCGTTTTCATCATATGTTTCCTTTTTTAGCAGGTCATTAAAAACGTCGAAGAGGAAATGCTCCTCGGATTGGGGGGCTCCACTCTCGTGTGAGTCCCTTTCCTGATTGTTTAGCTTCTCTCTGCATCGAAGTAACTTTTTGTATCCCTCTTCGAATTTCATATGATCCTTCAGCTTGTTCAAGTTCTGCAGAAATTTGAGCAAGAATAGCTCCTCGAAGTGGTGCCCCCTAGAGTTAGCATCGTTAGAGGATTTCTCAACGAGTGCTCCTCCGACTTTGGCTCCCCTCTTAGAAGTGTCCCCCATTTTGAAGTTGTTCAGTACGTAGGCCCAAATAAACGTATCGGTGTTTCTAAAGGAAAACTTCCTAAAGAGGATGTTCAGCTTCCTGTTAATGGCTTTATCTCTGGCGAAGCAGAAACAGAGCACAAAGTGTTGTAAGGTCAAAATGTAGATAAAATACGAAATAGATTTTATTACGTTTCTGTTCAGATTGTTAACTATAGATATGAGGGAAATTATTTTGAGGCAGAGATTCTGGTTGTTCTTAACTTTCTTCAGATGTGGCTTGAAGTACTTCAGTTTGGTTAATACATACTCTGGATAAATCTCGCTTAGGTCTTCGTACGGAGGTTGCAGGTGAGTTGTGTTCGCTGGACTGTCTTCCCCATTTGTGTTTCGCACCCGGTTTGGCTTTCCCCCCTCCACCAATTCATCCTTCTCAGGAGTGTGTGGACAGAGATACAGCCCCAGAAGAAGCAACAAGTTGTTATTAATGCAATAATCTACATCGCTGGTAAAGTATACGTAGCAAATTTCCAGAATATAATCTCTACAGGCGTGTAATCTTTCCAGCTTAATTTTTATTACTAAGTTTATGAGGCAAATAGCTATGACATAGGAGATGTATTTTTTGTTGAAGAGGAAAATTAAATTGTTCACTAAGACCGTGAACTGTTCTAAATTTATTTCGTTCTTAAATATGCGATTAATAAATGTGCACATGTAGGCAAATGTGTGCAGGTGGTAGTGTATGTCCATATCCTCTGTTTCGCTGACCTCCAACGTTGGTAATCCACGGGTGGAGATGACATTTCCATTATACTCTTTGCAATTTAGACATCCTTCTGCTAATCCGGCTTCCGCAATGACTTCCTCTCCGTACCCCTTTGTAGAGTCATTCGTGGGAAGTGCCAAACTGGCCAGAGTCCCGCCTCTGGGATCAACTCCTTTTTCGTTATGGTTGCCACTGTGTGGAACTGAATGGGTACCAGAATTTGCGCGGATATCTCCTCTGCTTTCCCCTTCGACCGGGGAAACGGAAACATCTGCGGCAGCCCTTTTTTTAGCCTGTACGAAGAGCAAAATCTTCCTCTTAATCGTTTTGTCCAAAATTTGCGCCAGGGGCTTCAGATGGGCAGTAACGTCCTCACGCAGATAAAAAATATTTGTTTCGAAAAAGGCAACCACTTCGAAAAGGAAATTATTTCCAGTCAGCGAAAAGTGCTCCGCTACCAGCTGGGGCACTTCATATATAAGGCTGCAAATGTTGCTTATGTATTTTAGTAGCTTTAAAAACATGATGCCGTTTATCTGTGCGTATTTGGCAATTTTTTTGAATATTCTAATGTGGGTTTCTATGAACTGGGCGTGGGGGAAGTCCTCCACGGGCACCTCTCCGCTTCGAGTGCCGCTTGGACTGCCTCTTCCACTGCCAATTCCACCGCCGCTTCCCCCGTCCGACAACACAATTACAATTTTAAGGATGGCCATGTGACTCGCGCAGGGGCCTTCTTCCCTGCCGACCTGTATCATCTGCTCCTCCATAAACAGCAATATTTTATTCCTCTCCTTTACACTACTCACATTTTTGCACATGAGCAAAATGGATTGATAATCATGATGCGCCTTGTTGGCAAACAGTTTCCTAAATAGCATCAAGTTTGCTATTTCTAATTTTTCAACGTACGACTGCAAATCTTTGCTGAACAGGGAGCTGGTAGCAAAGTTCCTAATACAAAGCAACTGGATTGTTATATACTTGTCCTTAAAATTTATGACGTGGTGTATTATCCCTTCGCAAATGGCCTTTATTTCTACTTCTTTTTTGAAATACGAATTTGTGAACAGATTTTCATGGTACTTAAAGAACCCCTTCAGATTTTGGAAGAAGGCTTTGTCCGCTTCTTCCCCTCCTGGTTCGTCCACTATATTTTTGTACTTAATTTTTTTTATTTTTTTCTTGCTGCTCAATGTCTGGATATCTGAGCAGCCCCGCATTTGGAACTTTTGTGAATTCACTTTTTTGAGGAATTTGGCCGGCACGTATGCGGATGCATTCGCCTTGGTTGCGCTGCTGTCCTCCCCACTGACATGGTTCGTCCCAATAGTCAGCTCAGTCGTGATGCCATTTCCATTGGTGAGGCTTCTCTCCGTTGAGACTTCCCCACCCTTTTGGCCGACTCCCCGCCGCTGGACTTTCCGTCTTCGTTCCTGCCTGCCCCCATTCACAGTCGCGTTCTCCAAAGCGTTCACGTAAAAATCGACCAGGTGAAGAAACAGAAATAGTTCCCTCTTGTCCAGTGACGCGTCACATTTAACGGCCAACATGGCTCTATAAATTTTGGTAATTTTATATGGGTATGAATTTCTTCGCATAATCTTTCTCAAAAAGGCTAGTATTAAAGCGTCCTTCAGGAATTCCGCATATATATAATTTTTTCGATAGAAGTTATGGAAATGGGACAGAAAAGTATCAAAAAAGGGCCTACTTAGGTAGGCAAAAATGAATAAGTAGTATTTTCTTTCTTCATAGTCTTCATCGTTCATTCCCGGTTTGCTGTTCCTTTTGCGATTTGCAAAGAGGTGCGTAACGGTGTACTCATGGGAAGGTGGTGATATCGTCTGATTGGGGTGATCTGCCTGGTTGGGGTTATCTGCCCCGTTGGGTTTCTGGACCCCGTTGCGGGTACTCTCCCCATTGTGCTGCACATCGAGGAAGCCCCCTTTGTGGTTTTCTTCCAACAAATGAAAGACCCCTTCGCATTTCTTGCCCCTCTCCCTTTCAAACAGCTTATTAATGACAAAATAATCGATTACAAAGGAGCCACTATCACAACGTTTTTTTGCAGCACACAACATATTCGCGTACCGATGAGAATTTGATATGTCGGGAAATATGACCAGCATAATTGAGAGGAGAAAACTTTGATAAAACGACTTGACGTCTAAATTTTTAAATAATTTTAATTTCATTCGAAACAATTCCGCAATGATTGTTTTGCAGATGTTTTTATCTTTTATATGCTTCTTCGTTTTTTCCATTTTGAAAATGCAGAAGAAAAGGTCCAGAGTCTTCAGCACAAACTGGATGTATGCGTCGCTGAGGAAAAATGTGTTCAAATATTTACAGTACAGGTAAAAAGTTACTGAGGAATTTATTCTCCTAAATTGTATTATGATTTTTTGAAACGACTCCTCAATGCTTTCGTAGATGTGGCTCTTTGACTCTTCTTTGATGGAGCTGACGTCTTCAAGGTATCTGAATACACATTTGAGGATGTTCAGGAGGAAGCGTCTGAAATCGTCTCCGGGTGGGGAGTTGCCTCCCACCGGACAATCTTTCACTTCTCCCCCTTCAAAGACGCTCCCACGTATGTACTCCCCCTCAAAGGAGTATCCCACTTCTTCCGACAAGTAGCGCGAAACTCTGCACAGTATGAGTGCCCTGAAGGGCATGCTGTGTCTTATCACCCCCTTGATGTTTTCGCAGCGGCGCAGTTTCATTTCGGCTTGGAAGAACTCCTCAAATTTGTATCCCTGGACGTCTTTCAATCTTATTAGTAATGTTAAAAAGTCCTCCACCAGCTTAAAACTGTCAGATAAGATATTTCTTGAAAAGAAGGAATTGTTCGGGTAGAGGTGTTTATTCTTTAGGTAGTCATAAAGGACGAAAAAAAAGGCAAAGTTCACGTTGACGAATTTTTTAAAAAATTTCCCATTTTGCAATTTTAGTTTATTTTTAATTTCCAGCTTGCTCAGTTGGGTCAGAAACAATTTCAAATAGAATGTCAAAAATGCGGTGTTTCTTTCATTGTCAATTTCACAGAAGTTTCGATACTTCAGTTCATTGAAAGCGTCAAACATAATGCGGTATAGGTACTTTTTGGAAGGGAAAAAATAGATTAGTTCTTTTTCGTACTTCTTCATGTAGTCCACTAACTGGATTCTATTTTGCCTCAGCTGGTAAAATATTTTCGCGTACAGGCACTCTATATTTCGCTTCGATTTGGAAAAATTCTTTCCTTTTTTTATTGTTCCTAGGGAGAATGACACCTCCTCGGAGTGTTCCCCCGTTGTGCAGTCGGTTGGTTCGTCTACAGTCACTTCCGCTGAAGTGTCGCTCCCCATTCGGTGATCATACATGTACTTGACACTCCTGACGGCCCGCTCCACCACTTCAGGGTCGTCAAAATCGACTTTCTCATTACTGAGCGCGTTAAAAATGTGGAGGTGGTGAATTTTTGTGTTAACCCCCTTAACTAGCCTCAGCAAACTCTCGTCTATTTTGCTGTACAGTTCGAACAAAATAATTTTTTTCCTAAAAAGGTCGCTATTTTCCTTCAGAAAGGATTTAACAATGTGGTACAAGTGTTCACTTCGTATTAAAACTTCGGGGTTAAGGGAGTTAACATGGGAGACCTTGGCAAGAAATGCTTCCACAACTTGCCTGGTGCGTAACGATTCTACACTTCTCTTCAGCTTTGAACCTTCGGAAATCCCCTCATCCAATTCGTACTCCCTCGATTTTATTAGGAAAATATAAAATGATATAAAATTGATCATGGCGATTATGTTGAAGACGTAATTTTGTTTACTCCTAAGCGTGTGGAGAAATATGTGTTCTACGGGAAACCAATTAAGCCTCAAAGCATAGCTCTTTATCAACACGAGTTTTATCAGATTGTCTGTCACTTCGTAGGTGTTGTTAAGATTGTATAGGTGACTCATCAAACTTTGCAGAGCCTGGTGATCCTGTATGATGGAGTTTATATTGCTGTCAAAACAGTTTTTTTTGTTTTCCTTCACAAAATTGATTATTCCTTGGATGAGTTTCTCGTCTACTTGGTTTTCCGATGTGAGGCTTTCATGTTGTAGAGTTACCCCGCTGTGTGCCTGTTCCTTCTGAATAAAGCTGGCGAGGGATATCTGATGGGAATTTTTGTAAATTACGTTTAAAAGGACAAGTAAGGAATTCATGAATCTGGAATGGGGGGACGCGTCACTGGCGATTTTTTCTTCTGCTCCTCCGATCGATGCTGCTCCTTCCCCCCGTGTTGACAAAAACTCTCTGTCAAAAAAGGCAAAAATTTTGTTCTTCAAAAAGTCAAAGTTGAACCCCGTTTTGCACTTCCCAATTGCATCTTCGAACGTTTTCAAAAATTTTTCCAAAAAATTTACGCAGTGGTGGATTTGAAGCGTGGCCATGGAGTGAGCCATGTGTCGGGTGACACAGCCATCCTTTTCCCCCTTCCTGTGTGCGCACTTCATCACCTCGAAGGACTTCCCACACCTTCTCAACAGCACCAACAACACGTTGCAGTAGAATTCGATTATCTGCACAGGCATGTCGATGTAGCTGTGGATGATATCTTCCGTCACTGAGATGAAGAAGTTTACATACGGGATTGGCGCACTGTTGGGTCTCTCTCCCGCGGTGGCAGCGGCGTTCGTGGCAGCGTCACATGTCGAAGCATCACCCATGGCAGAGCTCCCCCCGGTGGCAAGGCCACTGCTATATATCAGCTCCACGACATACTCGAAGATAATTTTATATATCGATATGTTCCTCTTTATGTGATGAACAAAAACGGACTGGTCGACATTCTTTAGATGCTCGTGCTTGTAATTATTTATGAAGAAAAAGGCGGAACTCTTTTCTATATAAATGATCTCCAGAATGTTCCTCAAGTGGGCCAAGGAAAGGTTCGGTAAAATGCACAGCAAAATGTCCTGGCTGCATTTCACATTTATTTCGTACTTGTAAATTAAGAACTCGATCAGGATTTTCACTTCTTTCCGGTTTGCATAAATGGAGCACAGCTTTAGAAATGATTTCACTTTTTTCACTATGACGCTTTCTTCTTCCTGCGTCAAGAATTCGCGGTGCTTCCGGTAGATCTGGTCATCCAGATGGGTATCCACATGGGCATCCACACCGCTGTCGGTTTGGTAGTTTCCTATACGCCCATTTTGATACTCCTCCTCGATGGGTTTCGGTTCCATCTCCTCATGGTCGTAAAAACTGTGCAGAACATCGCTCTCCTCCAGGTAGAACAATTTCTGGAATGCCCCGAACGATTTGTTTATGCTTGCCAACTTGCGCAGGCAACTCCTTATCGATTCCGCGTGCGCTGGACACACGATCACATTTTTGTACACATTCCTAAATAGGCTATATTTGTTCCTGGTGAGCTTATCGATGTTTTTATCTTCAAACACTTGGACCCGCTTCTGCACACGCAGGTCGTTCAGCTGTCTGCTCAGCATGGCGCAGGGGAGGAAGGAAGGTTTTGAACAGAAAATCCCGTAGGGCAAAATGTGTGCAACGCAAGCTAGTAATTTAGGCTAGCGATGGTCGCACTGGTCGTGCCAGTTTTCTAATAATCGCCCTTCGATCGTTCTATATAGGCGCTCTCCCCCTAATGGCAACACTGCATGGGCTTTCTGTATCTATAAGGACCCAAGTAGTGATGAGGAAGGGGTGACACTTTAATTGATAGCCTTCATTACTCCTTTAATTTTGTAGCTTAATCTGCGGAAAGGATGTAGCCTATTTGTGCCACTAGCTGCGGCCGTGGGGTGGCCCTTCGGAAAGAGTTAGCGGTTGATGATGTTAGCTTAGGATTATGCCACCTAGAGTAACACTCACGGGGAATGATTAAAAAAAGTCCCTTACAATTTGAATGTTTCCCGGGTGGCGATCTCTACCTCCACCTCTTCCACTTTTTCCTGGCTCTTCAAACCTTGCCAACCTATGACGAGGCTGAAAATTATGCGCCATTTAAATGGGGCTGCTCGGCTCGAACACAAACGTTGGAGCTGGCGTAACAAAAAGTGGAAAGGCGCAAAGTGGGGACGCTTGTCAAACTGGAAAACTCTACGTACCACAGAAAAAGTAGCACGTACAAATGAGCAAATTTGAAAAAAAAAAAAAAAAAGATGTACCTCTTTCAAGCTATACGATACAGGGGATACAGTTCACGATATGACATTCTCCCCCTGACAGGCTATATACAACGGGCTAATTGGGGAGGTTCAATTTCTTCGAAAAATAGAAACAAATAAAATTGCAAAGAAGTGGGAAACGCAAACGCAGCGCAATTTTATCTCTTCATTAACAACACGTGGTTCTTCTTTTTAATTTCCGCGAGGAAAGCGAACATTTTTTTTTCTTTTTTTTTTCTCGGCGTTCAATTGCCAACTGAGGGGAATTAAAAAAAAAAAACCTACAGAAGCTGCCTAAAAAGATGCAAATTTAACCATTTGGGTTAGTAGTAGCGGAAGCGCAGCAAAATGTTCCCAGTAAATTTACAACTCTTTTTTTTTTTTTTCAAAAATGCGATGCAAGCTAAATGTAGGTAAGCAAAACAACCCTGTGGGGAACATAGAGAAAAAAGGAAATAATTTTAACTCCAAAGTGACTAACAAAGTGCGACCTGCTTCCTTTACAAACATGTTGTTTCTTTTGGTTTCCCTTTTTTTTGGTGGTACTACATATGCATAACGTGGCAGAATTGAAAGAAAAAAAAAAAATCCCACTAAGCGGAACAAATATATTATATACGAATACGCGCCAAGGCGGGGGGTTTTATTTGTTACCTCCCACTTTGCGCAAAAATGGGGATATCCAATTCTCCAAAATGACGATGTCGGAAGGAAAAAAAAAAACCATAAAAGAGAGCGGCCCTAGCTGCATTGATGCATATCCCTTTTGAGGAATCCTAAACCGATCCACCGCAAATCTTCGATATTTTACCAAATGGAACGATCTTTTCCCGTGTGTGGCGACCACGAAATTACTTCTTTCATTTTCGCATCTTTAAGGTGATCGTGTTTTTACCCCCCCATGGTTGGTGGCAGCACCAGTTATGCGACATAGGCTGGGCATAGGAGGTGCATGTAGATATATGTAAACGTGTGCATTGGGGGTAGCGGTTATCTTACTATTAACTGGCTTCGGTTCGTTAATCTCGCGTGCGCCTGTACGAAGGGCTAATGTTACAGAAAAAAAAAAAAAATGAAAGCAAAGGAAAGGGAAGAAAAACGCGGTGACTTACAAAATTGGCAAATCGGTTAAACACCTTGGGAAGGGCAGACGATAGAAGCTGTCTACACGGGTGCGAAAATAAATAAATGAAGTGACGAATTGGCCAACTGACGAATTAACGAATAGGCGTAGAACCAAATGAAGCGATGGTAACAATTTACACATGCCGCTACGCACACGCGAATTCCCCTCTGTAGCGACGGAACGGATGGCATAGTAAAAAAGGGACACGTGGAGGAACAGTACTTGCATATCTTCTTTCCAGTTCACACCAATGGAACTGTTTTGCAAATATGGGTTGGGAACTCGTTTGAAGGGTGACCTACGCTGGAGTGTTTTTTTTTTTGTTTCTTCTTCCCCTATTTGTTTGATGGTTATATTTTTTCAGTAGGATGGTGCAAAGGGGGGGGATGCTGCACATTGGGAAATGACGTACGTCCTGCACGCAGCATATACCATGCTGCCATCTCTCCCACCGCTTCCACCCATAGCTACAACGACTGGAGGTAATCCCTGCAGCGGATAAACTGCTCGTCATCCTGAAGTTTGCTGAGAATGATGCGTGCGATTTCGCAGTCAAACTGGATGGCATGAATGAGGTGAGAAAAGTAGGAAAAGTTGCTTTCGCTTCGAAGAATACCAACAATAATTAAATGGATGTCCTGACCATAAAATAAAGTATTCGTCTTGTAGTATAAAAAGGCTTCTACAGTTATGTGCTTATTTTCAAAGAAGGGATTATAGCCAATTGAAACCACCGTTTTGTAAATCTTTTTTTTCAATCTGGATATACCAAAGTATATTCCAGGCATAATATCGATGCAGGTTAAATTCGAGTAGTCAATGTTGGCCGTCGGGATGTTTAAGTATTTACTGCCTCTTCCAAATCCTTTCACTACCGTTCCGTGTATGTACATATATTTTTTAAAAATGTAAAAAATGCGCCATGATAGTATGTCCTCCGTTAAATTACAATTTCGCACAAAGGGATACACAACGTCGTTATATTTATTCGATATGTAGTCGGAAGTATTTGAAAGATGACTCTCCCTTTGTGATAACACATCCCAATTGACATCATCACAGTTTGTTGCCATGGAGGGATTTCTCTTACCTCCTGCTACTTTAAAATATCCTTCCCTTTTTGCGCAAGTTACAAAACATTCACGATTACTAAATATGAGCACGTCTTTATCGGCGTTTCCAATTTTTTTCAGTTCCTCAAATGAGTCAATTATTTTGTAACAATTTTTAAAATGCTTCGAAATTTTAAAATATCTGAATAGTGTCTGTGTTAACTTTTTATTACAACTGAAAAATATTAAAAAATATTTTTTTTTTTTTAAAAAGGTTAAAAAGGGGTAGACTCCTATGTGTAATTTGGACAGTACAATTATTCTGTACAGGTTTTCTATTTCCTTCGAGGAATGTTGTATGTTTGTTTGTTTTTTTTGTTCCACGAGAAAGTTTTCCACACAGAGTAGACTGTCAAAATTTTTCATCTTGAGGTTTACATTACTGTAGTTTATTAAAAACTGCTTTTGATCTTGGCACAATGGCAAGGAGTTTCTAAAGCGGTAGGTGCTACCTTGCGATTCGTGGAAGGAGTCGTCTCGCGGGTCCTCTAGACTCGCTTCGTCGACAGCCTCGGCCTGCGTGCTGTGATTGGTCGAGCGATATGTGCCATCTCCGTCGGGATGCGAGGCACACTTGACGGAATCCGCAGCGGAGTTAGGAGCGGAATCCTCAGCCACGTGTTCCATGGCGCCTTCCGCTGCATCCTCATCGCTGTCACTAGTGCTGCTCCCCTTAGTCGCATGGCCCGGATCCGTCCCACCCATTTTCGAGTTGCTGCTCAGTTCAGTTGCACACCTGTGCCCTTCCGCGTCGAAGGCTTCTCTTAACGATTCATGCGACCCCTTCGCATTCTTCCCTTTATTTTTTATGTTTAAGAAGCAGACTTTCGACTTCGTCACGTTGTCCATGTTGACGTAGTTTTTGTCTTTTATGAGATCGTGCATGAAGTGGGCCATGTCTCTGGTTTCACCGCGGTTCCCATCTCGATTGGGGCCTTCCCAGGTGGACCCTTCATCCTCATTTCCGAGGTACTGTTCAGCAGGGGTTTCCATTTCTACCTGTTTCTTCCGCCCCTCCCCCTCCTGCGATGTTCCTCCACCCAGGGTAGTTTCATTCACGTCGCCATGGTTCCGTTTATCCATCTTGCTATCCTCTCCCCTTTCTGTCCCCCCTTGGTTGGCCCTGCTTCTCCCCATCAGATGGTTATACTTTAACAACACGTCATGTAAGTAGCCGAACAGATTTAAATTCCTGTGGATATTGTTAAGATACATGCTGAACATGAAAACGCAGATGATCCGTTCCCTCCTCTTGGCGTCCCACTCATTATTAGCATCATCTGCTGAGTCCCCATTCGCCTTTACCAAATTGTTGCAGATATTTTGTACATACGTCGTTATGGTGCTTCTGTAGTTTATTATGTAGTGGTCCGCATCTATAAGTGCGATGGGTTTCTTCCCCTCGTCTGTGCGCATTTTGGCAGGTAGTTCAGAGCGGCGACACACCCCTTTGGAGAAGTATCCCTCTGGGAAAGTACCAATTGTGAGGGATCCCCAATGCTTCCCAGTGGCTTCAACACAAATTGGCGTCTCCTTATGTCGCTACTGCGCTACGATTTTCTATCCTTTGTTTGTTATTTTTTATTTCTTTTTCCATTTCTTATCCTTTTTTTTTTACTACATTACTTCATGAAGCTGTGGGATCCCTCTACACCGTCTCGCTTGGCCCGAGCTGAGCTGCGACGCTTCTACTGCACGGTTAATGATGAAGGGAAATTCAGAGCTACGAGTTGCTTTTCTTCAAAATAATAGCAAAAGGTGAAAAGTTACAAGAACAAAAAAAAAAAAAAAATTTTACTCTTCAATCTAGCCATGGTAATATAAATGGGGGGGAAATCTAAATGTAGCGCCGAATCAGCAGTGGGGTTATGCACCTGGGACAATGCATGGTTTCGCTGTTCCGCTTCGATGAAGTCTCCGCCTCATGACATGGCCCTTTCGTTCGCATTTCTTTTACATAACAGATGATGTGCTTAATTTCTCAACCAGCCGAGTTGCGCACGCGTTGAGGATGCAAAATGGCACATTGCATTTTTGAAGTGATTTACATTTTTTTTTTTTTTCATTTTTTTTTTCTTGAGAAGATTTTGGTGAAGACATTGCCGCCTCTTTTTTGTAAACAATGACGCGCTTGTTGAGGATTACAAAAGTGGCGCTCTTACGTTCATTCTTTGTTTTGAAAGAGTTGTGTGGGAAAAAAAAAATAAAAAATACAGTTAATTAAAAATGACACACGGAAAGGGGGTTAACCCTTTTCAGGAAAATGTTTGGTCGGTTCGAAAGATGAGAAGAATTGCTTTTTCTTTTACACCAAGTTGTTTTTAGCGGGCAGGATAGGAAACCCATTTTTTGTAAATTGCAAAATGGATTGAATGTAGTGACCTGTACGGACAGGACTTCACCAAGTGGACCCCATAAAGTGAGCATCCTCCAGATTAACTTCTTCTGTTTTATCCCCCTCCCGCCCGTCAAGCCTTCTTAAAATACGTCGTTATGTCAGCATATATGTTTCTATTTTCTGTTGTTTTTTCCCTGGCCCTGTTTCCCTGTGCCTTTCGCTTCATTTTACTGAGTTTCTTTTCTTCAACATCGTAGTTGTATTCCTTTTTGTCTTCATCACATAGGTCAAATAGGGATTCTTTGAAAGGGGCAAAGAGGAGTCATATCGGAGTGATGCAATGGAAAAATTGAGGCATACTTTTCGGGAAGAATAGAAGTAAACTCCGTTTGGGGTTTAAAGGGAACAAGGGAAGAACAGCTACTTGCATCAGAGGAAGTAGCCTGCCTCTTGGCGCCATCATCCTCGTTTTGTATCCCTCTCTCTTGTTCCTTCCACAATGTGCAAAATGAATAGAAGTAAAATTTGTGCTTTTGTCTGATTAAACCATTACCGTCGTTTTCTTCCTCCTCAACAAAGAATGTATTTATGCTTTGATCCTTCAGTAGATAAAGGCAATCTGTAAGAGTTGCCAGGGGAAAAGGCGAAAGGGAAAAAAAAAAAAAAAAAAGTGTAGCGTAATGGCATACAAACGTACACATATACATATGAGTTTAAGCGTTTCAACAATTCGGGGGGTGCGCAATTGTGCTTTCTTTTTAGGACCTTCGAGGAATTTATACTTTATGCCTTCTCTTTTTATGCACCATACTGAAGAGGTGTAGAGCAGTTGAGGGGGCATTTGTACATGTCTCGCAAAAGGACGAAAAGTAAACAACCGCACAGCATACTCATCCGTGGAATTGCAAAAATGGTAAACAAGCGTCGCTCTATATCGAACGCAGCGAAAAAGAAGTTTATTCGTTTTTAACTTATGTCGAGGGATGTGATAAATTTGGACGTGTTCTTCTCATTTTTGAATTCAATGGTTTTGTTCACCAGTTCAATTAGAAACATAATCTGTTGGGGAATTATGCAGCATTTATGGTGGCGGATAATGGAGGGATGAAATATTCACAGGGTAAAAGCTACCTCTACACGTACACAGAAATTCTACTTGATTTTTTTATCTGCCCTTTTGTGCTGTTCGATCTAACCATGGCCTTTTGGAAAACATTAATGGCTTCATTGTTTATCTGAAAAGAAAAAAAAAAGGCAGAAAAGGGTTACCGCTATGTGAATGCTATTTTTCTAACATTCGGGAACTGACACAATCGGCCTTTGCTTGGAAAGATGGATTCCCCTTTCGATGTTACTTCCTTTCTCGTACCTTCCTGACGCTGCTATTTAGGTGCATAATTTTCTGAATTTTAGCAACAGGAAATTTGGACGTGCTAATTATGCCGCTGTGGTGTGTATGTGGTGAGGCATGGGAAATAAGAAAAAAATAAAAAAAAAAAATCTCTTTAGAATGCATCATATTCGTTGTACAGTGCGGCAGTTTTGAGTATGTGGGACGAATCACGAGGTGGTAAGAAAAAAAAAAGAATAAAATGATCTCTGCTACTCTCGCGCTAACGTGTCTCCTGCTGCGTCTGCGTTTCCAGATTTTTGCTGAACGGTTAAAGGGGGGAAAGGGTAATGGAACAGTTGGAATGGGGTTGGGTGCAAGGTATTAATTTTGGGTCTTTTTTTTTTCTTCTTTATCGGTATGTAGGCCTATTTCACTGGGTTGTTACGTCTCTCCAGTTCTATCCATTTTACCCAATCGAGGAGCTCTTCGTTATACTTTAGCTTCAGCAGTTGTGCCTGCTCCTCATACACCTAGAGTGAGAATAAAATAATGGAGGAAGCAAATGTATGTGAACTTCCAGTTTTTTTTTTTCTCTTTTTCCCTATCGTGTTATTCGTTTTCCTAATTAACCTTTCTCTCCTCCTCCGATAAGCTTTTCCATTTGCTGCTGAGTTCCTTCTGAATGTCCGATATTCTAATCTTTACACACGGGAGAAACAATCGTGCAAAGAGGAATGAGCAAAAAGGGGTGTCATCATTCTATTTAGTATTCAATATGGACGCAGGGCATCATACATGTACGCGCATCGTTCGGATGGCTTCCTCTATATTATGCGATTTTATGCTGATCGATTATTTATAACGAGTAGCCTTTACCGTTGCCTCGTTATCAGACTTCTCCAGTAGAAGTTGTTTCACATTTTCCCGCTCGGAGTTACAAAAAAGTAAATAAGACGAAGGGGGGATTTTGGGTTTTTTCCTGCATGTTTTTGTGGGGGAGTAATATTAAGGGGAGCGGTAAGCCTTACAGTTAAGGCGAACATGGCGAGCCATCTTAAACTGGCTTCGTGGTATGAAAAACGCCCTTCCCTGAGTTGCTCAAAATGGCCACTTTGGTTATCTGTGCTATGACTTCGCTTGTCATGTCTGCCCTTTGTTTTCACCTCTTGGGCGTTTTTTAACTGGTATGGCATTATTCTCTCCAAGATTTATCGTACCTGTCCATTTTACTTTTTCCCGCGTTTTTTTCCCCTTTTTTTTCCTACCTTTTCCGCCTCTTTTTTTCTGCTTAAATTGTGGAGAAGTGCAGGAGAGCTCTATTCCGTTTGATAAATGTCCCGCCAATGACACATGGAGTTTTTCTTAAAATGTGTATTTTTTAGTGGTAAGTATTTTTTTCTTTTTTTTTTCTTTCATTTCGGAATCATGTATGCTGAGTAGTACCAAAAAAAAAGGGCGCTGGATTGGCTAGGCAAGAACGGGGAATTTCTCGCAAATAGAGAAAAAATGAAAAAAGTATTAAGCAAAATAAAACCCAAATGAATGTGATAGGGATCCTTAAGTCGGACTTGTAAATGAAGGAACGAAATGGGGGTTGATTCTAACTTTTTTTTTTTTTCCATCCCCCCCATTGGGAGGTGTTTACACAGAGAGTGTTTTTTTTTTTTCCCCGCACTGTGAAAAGCTTAAGTGCGGTACTGTAGGAAGTGCAAAACCGAGTGGCGTTATTTCGAAGATGCAAATTTTTTAGTTGCAAAAATGTCGAAATTCCCGTTAAGTGTTTTTATGTATTTATTTCTTTTTACTGCTCTCTCTTTTTTGTTTTTGTTTCTCTTTTCCTTCCCCCCTGCAGCTTTTCCATTTTGACTACATGCTTCAGGACGGCATTTTTTGAGAAACGACTCTCCAGAAGCGGGTTGTTCGCATGCGTGGCAGCTCCCTGTTAAGCTGCCGTTCCCAGGCGGGAATTTCGAGTTGCTACTCGTTGGCCTGCCGTAGTACGCGGCGCGCTTGTCAAATCAACAGGCCATTTGCCACGCCAAACCCGTGAGCCATCGGCCCATCCGTCAGTGGAAGATATTAGCAATTTGCCCGGTTAGAAGCTTCATCGCTTGGCCGCGTCACGGCGTCTGCGACAAACCGCCACACCATGCAGCGCTTCAAGTTCCTAAACCGCAAAAACGACCAGCGCGTCCAAAAGTGCTTCTACAAGGTCAGCGCAAACCAGCGAATCACGAAAATCGTGAGGGAGGTGTATCTGCGAAACGACATAAGCTGTGGAGTAGAGAAATGCAACGTATGCGAAAATAAAAACAAAAGAAAGTACCTGGATCCAGAGAGGAATATTCTCATCTTAGACATAAACACCATAATCAAATATATAGACTTCTTGTACGAGTGCAGTGTGGATAACATATTAATCCCCCTGACCATATATGAACATGTGAGGACGTTTAACAAAATTTTGCATAAAAAGCTACACGAGCTGTGTTACAAGACGGAAGGTAGTAATCCCAGCACTAACAGACGCTACAGCGTGTTTGCGAACAAGTTCTGTAAGTTTACCTACGTGGATGACAATGCTGATCTGTCGACGAAGCAAGTCCAAGAAATCATAAAAATAGTCATATGGATTAAGCAACATAATGCCAACCTCAAATTAATCGTCGTAAGTAATAATAATTTTTTAAAAGATGACTGCCTGAAAAATGGCATTTGTTGTTTTAGTATGTACGAATATGTCAAGAGGTTAAGAGGGGAGAGCAAAAATAGCGATACACTTGGCGCCATTAACTTGGACACTTTAAAAATGTATTTCGAAGAAGACATGCTAATGGATGAGAAGCATACCAAGGAGGGAGGTGTGGGAAATTGCCATGGAGATTCGGATGAGGATACGTACCCCATGGCAGAGACAAAACGAATATTCGAACCCCATTTGGAGAGAAAGGAAATGATCCAAAGGCTTAGGGATAAGCTCATTATGAAGGGCATTTTTCAAGTCATCTGCGTTAATAAAATGGCCCTAGTAAAAATTACAGACTCGGATGAAGTTCTTATAAGGGGGCCTAAACGTATGAACAGAGCACTACACAATGATGTGGTGGCAGTGCAGATTCTGGAGGATGGCGAGGGAGAGGTCTCGGGGCAAGAGGAGGAAGACTACTTCGAGGAGGTGATCAGTCCGGAGGAGGAGCAACAGGAGGAGGAGCAACAAGAGGGGGAGCAACACGGGGGGGAGCGCCATCAAACGGGACAGCAGCAAACGGAACAGCATCAAGGAGAACATTCTGACGGGGGGCCAAAGAGAAGCAACGAAACGGAGACGTCACCCAAGAACAACACCAAAAAGAGCAAAGTGTACGGAGAGGTAGTCGGAATCATCAGCAGAGGAAGAAAAGAATACGGAGGAGTGATAAAGGCATATGATAAGGAACAAAATGCACAGAAAAAGAAAATATTATTTTTTAAAGCCTTTAATAACAAGGTACCATATATCATAATAAAGAGCAGCATGGGGGAAGAGCTAAAAAATAAAAGAGTAATTGTCGTCATTGACAGGTGGGATTATAATTCCAAGTACCCCTTGGGGAGGTGTCTATCCGTGTTAGGAATATGCGATGACGTTGAGACGGAAACTAAATTGATTTATAACGAGTACAACATATCGACGAAGGAGTTTAGCGAAAGTGCGTACAAGTGTTTACCTCCAAATGATTGGGTAATCCCAGAGGAGGAATATGCGAAGAGGAAAGATTTTCGAGATGTGCTAACGTTTAGTATTGACCCCCCAGGGTGTGAAGACATTGACGATGCGCTATCCGTGCAATTGGTGGAGGAGCAAAACGTTATAGAAGTAGGAGTACACATCGCAGACGTGTCTTATTTCGTAAAGCAGAATAGTGCACTAGATTTGGAAGCCTCCAAACGGTGCACAACAGTTTATTTAATAAATCAGCGTGTTGAAATGCTTCCAAAATTGCTAACTACAGATTTGTGTTCCTTAGTAGAAGGTCAAGACAGACTGACCTATAGCTGCATCTTCACATTTGATATGGATTACGAAATTAGAGATATCAACGTGAGTAAGTGTATCATCAGAAGTAACAAATCCTTTTCGTATGAGGAGGCACAGAACGTGATTGACGACAGGAAGGATTCTTCTCCCACAGCGAAGGCGCTACGATTACTGAACAGCATCTCGAAGCACTTAAAGAACAAGTGGATAAACGAAGGGTCACTGGAGCTGAGAGGCAATTCAGAAGTACTCTTCGAATTTGAATCCAACGATTTTTCAAAGACGAAAAATTTAAAGCCATATGTATCGTACGAAACGAATAAGTTGATTGAAGCATTTATGCTTTTAGCTAACCGATCCGTGGCAAGAATAATCTACCAAGGTTTCAAGGCAGCCAGTGTGTTGAGAAGGCATCCTCCACCAAAAAAGGAAAATCTGAAAGAATTAAATGATTATCTAGAATCGATAAATATTCACGATTTTAAGTACGACACGTCTAAGGAGCTTTCCTACTCAATTAATAATATCAACCTGAAGGATGACAAAGTTTTATCTAACATTTTAAAAATACTGATCACCAAATGTATGAATGAAGCTGTGTTTATCTCAGGGTATAATGTACACAATAATGAGATGCTGAGGCACTACGGATTGGCTGCAGACATTTATACCTTTTTTACATCCCCCATTAGGAGATACGCCGATATAATGGTTCATCGAGTTCTCAATCATATTTACGGCATTGAAATATTGGACAGCAAATACCTAGACGTTATTTATCTGAACAGACAAGTTTCCCTACTAAATGAAAAGTACAGAAATGCCAGATTTGCAGCACGCGCATCGGTTGAATTTTTCTCTTACCTTTACATTAAAAAAGTGGGGAACCAGATTACCAATGCAGTAATTACGAATTTGAAGAAAAACGGAGTGCAGATATTTCTACCATGCTACTCCGTGGAGGGCATTTGCTACTTGAAGAGGAAGGACGGGTTCGTGTTCGATGAGAAGCGTAAGCGCTTTCAAAAGCTCGGCGAAAATAATGAGGTGCTCTTTTCCCTCAGCTTCTATGACAATATTCAGGTCCACGTGCAGGTCGACAGATGCGACATCAAGTGTCAGAATAACTTTGTTTTTATAAAGAAGCTGTGAGGTGTGTGTGTGTTACGTATGTGGATAGGGGAGAGACCCATTCGACGGTGAGCATATACAAGTGTAAGCTTACGTGAGGGCGTACCTGCCCATGTGCATACGTATCAGTATATTGTGTGTGTACTTTTTTCCCGTCCCGCTATTTGGCATGCCCTCTTCTCCCCTTTTCCCACCACTTTCCAACGTAACATTTCATTTTACCCATTTGTACTCAATTTTTGAAAGTCCAAGCTAGGTATAACATTTCAACAAAACGATTTCGCAAAAGGATGGGCGCACACTTGGTCATCAGTGTGCAGATTAAAGTTAAAAAAAAAAAATAATAAAATAATTCTTAACATACTGAAAAATTGAAGGAACATAAAGAGATAAAAATAAAAATCAGAACAGTTGCTCGTCAATTTCTTCCTCACTCGCGATGGGAAGGTCAACAATTTGGTTAAATTGTCACGACGTGGTTTTTCTGTAAAAGGGAGATGGGGGGCGAGGGGACCCCTTCCTAGCCCCTCCTGGAGACACCTGCGAAGGATGCAGTACCCGCAGGTACAGAAAATGGGCACAGGAAACTACTTAAAAAATGGAGTGTTGGTAGGAATTTCCTCTTTCGTAAAAAAAATGCTGCATGTTAAAAAACAACACGGAGGAAAGCTCTAAACATGGTAAGGAAAAAAATAAATAAAACAAGTAGACAATTTAGCAAAAGCGAAATTGTCCCTTTTTTTTTTTTTGAAAATGCCCATTTGGGGATAGCTGTCCACGTGGGTAACCATCCACATGCAGCCACGTATGTGTACGGGTATATAACTAGTACATGTGTATATGTCTGGATGCACAAATTCGCAGGGGGAGGTACTCCTCACCCACGTGGTTACACGTGCCTGAATAGCTTTCCCCGAAGGTACACACCCACATGCAAAGTAGTACATTGCACGGGCAGGACATGCATAAGATCAGCGCAAAAGCGGGGATAAAAAAACAATCAATAAGGGGAAGAAACGGAACATGCGCGTCAAATTGTAGAAAAATCCAAAGCAGTACTTTCAAAAATGTAAAAATGAATGCATTCGCAGATGGCATCTTTGCGAAATAAAAATGCCACGAATGATTTGCAAACAGCGGAAATATTTTTTCCTAAGCATGGTAAAATAAATCAAAAAAATGGTGTGGGCAAAAATGTGTATGCTCTTTATTCATCTGGCGCGTAAAACAAAATTTGGGGAAAAATTAGCTTAGCGAGTGGGAAGCAGTGACATTGGGTTGAAGGAGAAAGAGATCAACGTAACATGGGATTGACATAACATGCGCCATTGTACATTACAGGTATTGGGAGATAGGGGGAAAGGCGAGATACACAGAAGATATTATATACAGGTGAGAGTGCGAGTATACTACGTGAATGAAACGACGTAGGGGATGGTGGTGATGGAGATGCGATTATGTATTCGTACAATAAATGCATTTTGTTTAAAATAATACTAAAGACTAAAATTTGGAAGTATATACCAACCCATGTGAACAGCAACAGAAACAGCAGCGCAATAGTAACGGTAGCGTAACTTATTCTACTCTTTAGATGAAAGAATGAACAAACAAAATAAAAAACAGATTGTAAGCTTCAGGGGGGGGATATATATATGGATATATGTGACGAAATAAATCCATTGCGCAAATGTGTAATTCATTTTAACATGTTCTCAATATAAAATTGTAGAGAGGAAGGAAAAAAAAAAAGGGGGTAGGGGGAATTATAAATTAAAATAATTTTATATTACATATGTATTTTTATTTAAAAAAGAAGATGGGGGTATTGTAAAGCAAATTGCAAGTGAATTGCAAAAGAAAAATGGTAAGGAAAAAAAGATAGTTAACGGGAGCAAGAATGGGCCCCCAAAGAGGAAACGAAACGGAACGGGGAAAAGGCGTTTCCCGTTCGATCAAAATGTAAGCGTACACACCGGAAGGGTTCTACGCATATTTTTCCACTTTGCTTAGTGAAATATAATCTTAAAAGGTTCTGAAGGGGGTGGTATATATTTCCACTTTGGTGGTACTCCTAACCACCGCATGACAATTTGCACAATGTGAATCTGTGTCTTAGCATGTGGGGTGTAACAAAATGGTCTTTTTTGGAAAAGAATTCTATTTTCTCTTTTTCTGTGCTGCGTTATTTCGACTCAGCTGGGAATTGTTTTTTGAATTCGTCCTTAGAGTTATTCCTTTGAGTTCTTCTTTGCAGTTCTTCCATTCAATTCATCCTTTCAGTTGTTCCTCTCCATTTTTCACTTACACTTGCGTTGGCTCCCATCTGTTGTGCGCAGGCGAGGACATACATAACTACTCATTTGAGTAAGTATGTATTATTGGTAGGGGGGGCAGTTCATCCCGCAATGCAAGAGCAGCACGCGGGGCTTGTTTCTGCCTCCACATTGTGTGTCCCCCTTCCTGATATACATATATATATATATATATTTTCTGTTTACGCCCCTTTCCCTGCCTCCCCTTCGTAGTCTTCATCTCGTCGTCCTTTTATATTTTCTCCAACCCTTTGCTCCTTCTTGTCTAAGTTAATTTTATGATACATTGGGCTAAATTCACCGCTTTTATAATTTGCGAATTGGGGATTTTTTTTCTTTTTTTTTTTTTT